AACTCCATCAAGCGTATACATACAGACCCCTCTCAAATATTATCATCCGATTATCGAGTTTGTAAGTATGACTAACTAGTTTGGTCTGTATGTATAAAAGATGTGCATAACTTCGTTCTTTTCCCTAACTAGATTGAGAGCACCTTTACATATGTTATTTATAAAAAAATGAAAATTTTAAATTATTAAATTTTTATAAAAAATTTATATTTAAAAAATTTGAAAATTATTAAAATTATTAAATTTGAATGAAATTAATAAAAATTATTTATTAAGAAAAAAATTAAACTTCTTATAACCTTATATATATTTTTTATCAATAATTAAATGTTGTGAAATTAAAACCGCAGAAAACATTCGACCCTATAATATTCACTGCTAAAAACATAAAAATTATACAAAAATTAGCTGTCATTGCCTTTAATTTCCGGATTCCAATTATCACGAGTAGATGTAGGCTACCCACAGCTTTACTACGGCCTTAAAAAAGACTGGAAAGCTGTTGTCAATGTCGAAGTCAATAATGGTCCTTTTCTTTTCTTTTTCTTTTTGTTTTTTGAGCATAGTCCTTTTCTTTTCTTTTTCTTTTTGTTTTTTGAGCTTAGTCCTTTTCTTTTCTTTTTCTTTTTGTTTTTTGAGCATAGTCCTTTTCTTTTCTTTGATACTGGGATAGGGGGAAGGAGGGACGATGGGGATTTAACCCCACCTCTTTAAGTGAGTGGCTTTTTTAACGATGTTGAGGTGATCACTATGATATCTTTGGGCTTCTCAATCATGGTTTTTTTCTTTTAATTAGTATAAGAGGAGTGCTAAGGGCACTCGCCTCCTGCACTCTCCGGCCAACACTTTCACTTTTATTGGGCCACGTTATTCTGGTTTTTTAAGAGGTTGCACTTCAAAGCTGAACAAGCTTACGTGGCCCAATGAAAGGGGAAGTGTTGGCCGGAGAGTGCGAGAGGCGAGTGCCCCTAGCACTCCTCTTACTACAAAGCGCGGCAAAGCTCTCGCCAACGGAATCCCGTCCTTTTGATATGTCAGCCAAAGAGCCCGCATGGGATAAAACGAGACTAGTCAATTATGGTCCTCTTCTTTTTATTACTACAAAGCGCGGCAGCCTCACGTTCTCGTCAATGGAATGCTTTGATATAAATTTTAAATAATAATTTAATATATTATATAAATTATAATTAAAATTTTATATTAATTAAAATTATATGTTAACATTGTTGAAAACCTAAAGTCTTACCCACATTTTTATTTTAATTAAACAATAAAAAATTACACAAATGATATGAAAACAAAAGATTAAAAACCTAAGAAAATTAAAAAGCAAGTCATAATTTATGATAGTTTCTCTAACTTGAAATAGTCTATTGGCCAAACTTTCTTACTTTAGAGTTTAATTCAATAGAATTTTCTTATTTCTAAATGAAAAGTTAAATTAATGGGAACTCTTATTTGTTGGTTTAGAAAGAAAAAGAGAATGGGATCCATATGACACCGTATAAAAAATTGAGCTAGAATGATACACGGTTTAAAACATAGATGGTACACGCAAACTTCCAACGTGTAGAGAATTAGCCATGTTGGTACGGGCCCAACGAATATTTTGAGAGTGCTGACGTTAACAATCAAATATTTGAGTGCTTTCAATTATTCAATAATTTAAAGGTGATATTTATTTTTGTATTTTAAAAATATAAATTTATCCTTACTCCCCAAATCAATAATTTATCTCTGATTTATTTTCAAAATAATAATAATAATAATTTATCTCTGAGCAGTACTAGGGCCACTTATCTCCTGCACCCTCCAGTCAACACATGTTTTTTGTTTGGAACACGTAAATTTGCTTTCGTTATGAAATGATTTATCCCTCTAATCAGTATAACGTGGCCCAATGAAAGTACAAGTGTTGATTAGAGAATGCAAATGGTGAGCGTTTTTAGCATTGCTCTTGTAATTAAATTATCACTTTATTAATTTTTTATTTAACTTATTTTTAAAAATAAATACAATTAGTAAAAAGCCATACAAAAATTTCTAACCATAAAACCATTTTCTTCT